ATAACAGAAACTGATTAGAATCGGTACGGTTAGAGTGTTTTTTTCCTGTCCTCGCTTCAAGGCAGTATATACTTTCACGTGTGACATTATCCATTTCAGTTTGTAGCGTTTAGATAATGGATGACAAATTCTCCATAACAAAAGATTGTCTAGCCACCTGCAAATTTAATATCAACAGAAATTATTTGAGTTCACCAGCTTATCAAAATACACGCACCTGTCGTGGTATTTTGGAAACTTTTTCTAGGACTGAGTGGTCATTCACACAGTTTGACTGATACGTCGCAATTAAAACACCTATTTAGTTTAAAGTACAATTATAAAAGTCACTGGTTCTGGGGTAACCGCGTTGTTTTCATATATATGTCGCCCTGTCGTGATATATTTGCAATAATGTTGATTGAGATGCGAAAAGCTACTCGCCATAACCGTATTGCGTTGGATAGTCACGCCCAGGTTCCATTCCCCACATGGGTACTATGGGTACTATGGGTACTATGTGTCAAGCAATTGACCGCCATATTGTATAATACAGAGAGATCGGTATGCGGCCTCCAGTGAAAACATGCGGTGTCACTGCTGCCTTGTGCCCTGGGTATTATGTAGGTAACGTAATAATCAGAGTGGGCCTACATGATGGCCTGCTTAGATAGACCAGTTCAAGACATCAATAGTTCTCAAGACAGGTAACATTTCGGACCGTGGCATTGATACAATCTACCTACGGAGGCAACATTAGATTGACGAGTTGATGATCACTGCTGTTGCTGAAAGAAATGTGGATACTGAAGTGCGTTGTTAAGACAATCACACACTTCGCAACAACAAGAGGCATTATACCCGGACCTAGAAGTATGTCCGCAAAGAAGACATACTTTTACAAGAAGAGTCTTCTGAACAAATTTTGGACCAAATATGTATTTATACCTTTTGATCACACACAATTTCTTGAAACCGGCAGAAAGGACATTGCTCTCAGGTATCTACATAATACTAGACATACATACTGTCGTGACCTAGGATGTATCGCATGCCATGACGGGAATATTATCGAAAAAAGAAATGTCATCGCTCATGTCATGAACCTTGGAATGCGAAATAGTATTTTTTGTAATTGGGATATGACAAGCATCAACTAAAACAGCCGATCCCGTTAGTCGACAAGAATGGCTTGTTTGAGATCAATTCTATTTCGAATGAAATAATATATGTCAAATATGGTGAATGTATACCCATCAAAGCACCCTATTTGTCTCAGGAATGACGAAGATAATATGTTGTCTGAAAAGCGTCAATTTGACTCATAGCGAAAACGGAGAAAGTAACACGTAGGGCATTTTCTCACAAAAGCTTTAGTTCATATACCATGCCTACTGGGAAATGAGCAATTCCATTAAATTCGTTGTGAAGAGTTTCGTCCCTCGACAATCCTGTAACGGGTTTCACCAAGTGGTAAACGTGAGCAACCGGATTTGACGACTATGTTGTTTCCATGATTGTAGACAAAAACCGCTGCATTGTAAGCTCATATTTCAAACGCATACATCTTTGTCGCAATATGATCAACAGCCAGCCGTCAGATATCCATCATACGTACATTGTGTGAATGCCGTGATCACAAACCAGTGCAAGTGCCCTGACGTATGTTCACGTACACAGACACTGACGCAAAGGACCGTCTGTAGGTGGTTAGTGCTTCTGTTGCTACTTATGTAAATCTAGCGTAGAACACATGTACTGTATTTGCCAGGGGTCACCTTTTCACAATCTATTACTTTGTCGTGTTACTGCTCACCCGGAAAATAGCTATGTATGGGACTAGATCAGAGGACAGGGTCATGAAAGAATACACGAACTTAGCATTGTGATATACCTGGTGTTATATATCATTTTTTGTAGGTGCGAAACATTAGATATTGCTAAATAAGGCAACTCTATTTCACGCTTCACGGCATCTGTTCTTGATTTTTTTTGTGTGTGAAGAATTTTCATTTTTGATGAAATATTTCGTATATCTCTCCAGGGGCCTTGTTCCCGTGGTTTTTATCTTGAGTGTAGGTTTAAAACTCTTGCGCATTTTTCATCTTGCGTGAAGTTTTAAGACTCTCCCTCGTTTTTAAACTTGTGTAGGTTTAGGACACGTTTGTCACCGTGGTCTGTTGCTAGCTGAGACCAATGAAACCAGTATCTTAGTCCATAGCGTGCCATCAGGGTAACATCACATCACATCATCACATTCTCGTTTCAGTGAGTGAGTGAGTATGGTTTCACGTTGCTTTTAGCAATATTCCAGCAATATCACGGCGGGGGACACCAGAAATGGGCTTCACGCATTGTACCCATGTCGGAAATCGAACCCGGGTCTTCTGCGTGACGAGCGAATGCTTTAACCACTAGGCTACCTGACCGCCGCCCCCCCCCCCCCGTTTCAGTCAGCCTTTACGGCAAGCATAGGTTATTGGGGTACTATTCTGCTGTGGAATCGACACTAGGGGAGATAATATGAACCCCTGCACGTACGCACTCGCACACACACACACACACACACACACACACACACACATACACACACACGCTCATCCATACCTAAACACACATGCAAACACAAACGCACACACACTCATACACACAGTCATACACACACAAAATTCACACACACTCAACTACACATACACACACAAATGCAAACACATAGACGCACAAATAAACACATTCTTACACACACAAACACACACATACAGTCATACACACACATACCAACACCTGGAACCACGAATGACAGTTCATTATGAGACCACATAAAAATGAAAAAAGGATGATCCCCAACATGGTGTACAAGCCTAAAAGCATGTACATGAACATATACTCAACAGCAAAAGTTCCTGTGACACCAATATTATAGACTAAGTGTATTTTTCAAACAAGTTAAGTTTGGTTTTCAGTATTGTAGTACATGTATGGAATGAGGTCACAACAACGCAACTGCTACAGAAAAGCATGCATTCCATGCAAAAGTTGACTTTTATGCAAGCCCCATGCATTTCACTACCCAAGAATGGGTATAAAAACATGTGCGTTAACGGGATTCCATATGCATTGTTTAGCATCGTCCTGACAACAACCACTCAGAAAAACAACAAATTTACGCAATTATTCAACATTACGAAATGCCAGGCCTGTCCGAAAATGACCGTCTGCGAGCCATTGGTATGCTTGAAGCAGGATCGAGTCATGATCAACGTGACAGGAAACCAACGTCAAGCACGTCTACAGTGGTACAGACAGCGTCTATTCACTGACGAATCTGGTTTTCACATCAGCCACAGTGTACCGACGTCGAGGTGAACGTTACGTCAGTCATTGTGTCATAGAAGAAGATCGGTTCAGGGGCGGGAGCGTTATGGTATGGGGTGGGTTTACAGCAAGACAGAGGACCCGTTTGATAGTGGTAGAGTGAAATCTCAATGGACAGCGCTACCGCGACGAGATCATTGGCCCTGTTGTTCTACCGTTTTTGCGTCGTCATGGCAATCTGACGGAGGCGATCTGAATAAAAGTAACGGTTAACTTGTTAAGTATCAATTAGTGAGATGAATTGTATATAGTCTCTGGCCACGGCAACATCCTTATGAAGATGACACCATCCTCGCTGACAGAAGTAATATTTATAATCAATCTCATTAAAATCAGATCTTAGTTCTCGTTATCGCTAAACAAAGATCTGAGGACATCCCAATTCGGGTCACGTCAGAACGACCTTTCATCCGACCAATCAACCGCTTACCAGATCATAAAAGTGACAGTCGGAATGTGTTTTCCAATCATGCAACCTCGAAAACGTTAACACGGGGTATTCCGAACGACAGTTACGGCCCGTACGACTGATTCCGTCAAAATTATCGTCTATCTCTCGCTTCCGCGGGATACACATTTGAACGGAGGAGGCGTTACACAGTACGTGGGAAGCACTGCCATACAATCTCAGCCATATATTAGACATTCCGGAATGTTCGTTTGTTCAGTTTTCAAAATTTTAATCGAGAACTGTGTCAACATATTTTTCAAGCGTAGTCTGAAATGGAAGTCGCCAGGTTGAAACAAGTGCCGTAAAGCTCGAGAAAGCTGCTTTCTCATTGGCTGATATCGACTTCTTGTTATTCATTTCAGTGGTCGGTCAAAGTTCGCGAAAGGTCGTTCTGACGTGACCCGTAATGGGATGTCCTCAGATCTTTGTTTAGCGGGAGCGAGAACTTAGATCTGATTTTGATGAGATTGCATTTATAATACGTTTACATCTTGCTGTAAAAATAATAAACATCCGGCACTATAGCAACTGTTTTCCCCGTTGTACCGACCAATCCCATCCACTCAATGTCAAATAAAATATGATGTATTGAACTACCCGAATGGTTAGCAAAATGTCAATAAGCATAAAATAAACATGTGTAACCTTATCCCGTGCACGTGGCTACGTTGAACGACAACAGAAAGGTCGCGGTGTGAAAGGTTGGTTATCGGATGTGTGTTTCTCTGTCTCCCCTGTTACTGCTGTAAAAGTGACTTTTGCACACTCTACAAATTCCAGAGTGTACCTCGTCTGACATGATTCGTAAACTTTGGATTAACAACTGCCGGCAAAAGAAAGTATACACTTGAAAATTGGATTTGTCAAAACACATTACAAGCGTTACTAAAACGTTAACTGCTAGGCTGAAAACAGTCGACAAAATATTGCAAACAGGTCCAAAACACAACTATGATACCAGTATCAAACATATCACCATCGAAAAAAAACATTTCTTGTTTGTTTCATTCTTCATACTTTCTTTTTCCTGGTAGTTGAGTTTGAGGTAGCCATGCAGGTACGGTTTAACGCTGAAAGACTAATCTGAAATTTTTATATCTTTAATGGCGTATCGTATCGTGCAGACGGGTAGATGCGTATGAGCATGACCATGTATCAAGCAGATTATTGTACCATCTATTTATCTTTGTTGCAGCTGATTCAGAAATTCAAAATTGAACTGGAGCCCAATCACGAGGACCTGGAAGTTGAGTACTTCACGTTCGTCTCACCGACTCAGCCAGTAAGGTTCAAGTTTACAAGACGTTGAGACGTCACGCTGTTTCTGATTGGTGCAAGTAGTAAAGAGACTGACCAATGAGGATAAGAGCTTTAGCTCTACACGAACTAAAACTGGCTTGGCTCAACTTCGTAATCTGAGAGAGGAACCATGTACCTGATTCTAAACAACTTGTGTATAGATTATACAGTTGCGGTTGTATATATCTTGTATACATGTACATATATATAACCTTAATGTGTCATATTTTCTGTACAAATGTAAACTGTGTTATGCTTTGTTTTGATAATTTGCTTTGTTCCTGCAGTTGCATTCAGTTAATTACATTTGTTTCCTTTACTTTGGTAAATTAAACTGTTCTCTTTATACGGTCGTAAATTATTGCAGGATTATTAAAAAAATATTTTTATCACTATGAACTTAATGTGGTTACAAACTAGTGCTAACAGGTATGGCTGCAAACATTCCATAAATATCTATCCATTATACACAGCTCAGAAGTTTATACTCCTGATGTCAACACAGCGGAAGTGGCTCAAGACTGACTATGTTCAAGTTTAAGAAATCACTACGTTTCGTACCATGCATTTCCATCTCCCACAAACTAGAATTGTCATTTGTTCGTCAGTCTAACTGTGTATATATCATAAGAATTCTCCTCATCCAACGGGCCACGAATACGAAAAAAGATACAATCTAACCCAGAGCTTCATACTGTTTTATCATCATTGTGGAAGATGGTCCATTCTTCATTTTGCCTCACCCGGTGTTACTGATAGATTAGTGGCAGCACGATCACTTTTAAAGCGAACATTTGACGTCCGCTTCGAATGATTTTGTTTTGCAAAAATCGATTTTACATTACAGGGATTATTCAACGTGGAAATGCTTGTATCGCATGAAGTTAGAGCGTCAGTCAGATTGTTCTTCCGAACACAGTATTTTACGCCCGCTTCATATTTTGAAATTGAAAATTGGTTTCGCAATACCCGGAGAACATTATACAAATGTGTATCGAAGAGTGTTAGTCAGAACTGGATGTACATATATGTAATCTGACACATATTTATTTCTTTTGATGCGATTTTCAATGTGGATGTAGGAAGTTGTACGTCACCCGAGAACATCCCTGGATTATATACTATTCTCAAGACGTTACAGAACACCCGATGCTTTCATATTACTATAGTTTATCTTCTTTTGAGTAGCATATATACTGAGGAATATTATTTTAATCTTAAACTGTGCTGTATAATAATAATAATAATAATAATAATAATAATAATAATAATAATAATAATAACAATATTAATAATGATTAGGAAATTATTATAACCTTCAGAAATCGTTATTACTGTTATCAGATGTTTTCTTATGATACAAAGTAGACTGTTTATTTCAACATTTGTATATTTGGGACATATGACACCACTAAATGGATATTTCAGACTTTATATGTCACAAAGGTTGATTGTAGAGAATATACGGAAGGGGTTTTCTTTTATTCTTTTGACCAAAGCTGTTTCTTAAATATGATAGTTAGACTATCGCTTGAAATTTGACATTTTCGGTGATCTCAAAAGGACATTTATCTTGTCTTGTCAATTCACTGGAAAATAATATAACTGATGCCGAAGAAGCAGCTTTTGTATAGGAACTTGTGAATAAACACTCTACAATTAACCTTTCTACAACTAGTGCTGCCGTCTTGTTAGTATAAAGGCAAGTGGTCATTGCTAAGCGAAATATCAATAACCGTGCAATATAAACTGTTTCAACATTACAAAATATATCAGCAGATCTGAATGTACATATAATGCATACACACAGTGCGTTTGGGGATTCTGGGAGTGCATTCAGCCAACATTACAATCTCACAGAATGTATAAAAGGTATACACTTCACAATGATGATATAATTTGTATTATTTATTGATGAAATTTTAATATGATATTATATTCAGTATTAACAAAATGAGGGGGTCTACTGTTTTATTCCAAAAATGTTGACATGGTTGGGTTGGATGTTTTATATTAATTAATTTCTTGTTGGTGATCATTTGTTGTTTATTTTTTGTCAAAACTTTCAACCAGGAAACAGTTTTATATCTTACACTATCCTTAGTTTTCTTCCTCCTATAGTAGAACATTCCACCACCTCCTTACCCTCCATCCCACCCTACTACCACACCACACCACACCACACCACACCACACCACACCCTACACCCACCCCATCTCTCAACATCCATCACATCCCCCAGCCAAGTCTTATTTGTGGCCTCAAATTGCTTTCTATTGTTGAAGATGATAGAGGTCCTTAGATGTACATAATATTTCGTGCTAAGGATTGTTTATCGAGATGGTTATTACAGACTCGTCATTAACAATGAATGATTATGGATTGTTGCGATCAATGACAATTTCCTTCATGGAAAGCGATCGTTTGTTGAAATGTATAGCACTTTGTATAGACATGAGATGCGTGCAGTATATGATTAGCTATCAAGGGCTAACACTGTTATTTGTATATATGCATGTATATTTGTAAATAGTGTATCACACTGGCTTCCTCACGGCGTGTCATTGTGTACTCCAGGAAGAGAGTTTTCATTTGTTACGTGTTACAAAGTTTACCCACTTAGGGACCGACCATTTGATTTTCGAGGTGGAGGGGACTGGGATGTCATACCCCAAAATACTGTTGAAAAAAACACACAAAAAACAGGAATATCAAATTGTCGGTCCCTTCGTACTTCAGTTCACAAACGCAACGGGCGTGCTTACATGCAAGTCTATAACATTACTGCGTTCCTTTCGTTTTGCATTTGGAAGATTGAGGTATGGACATGCAATATGACATAAGGGTCATTTCCTATACGCTAAGCTTCGGATAAGATGAAAACAGATAAAGGCAAATTAGGTCCTAGCATGGGCAACTGCTGGTGAAACTAGACACTGTACCTGCTGGTCATCGAAACCTCGTAAATCCATCATCTCGTTATAGTGTTTAAGACGATGCACGTCAATGGTCCCGGAAGATGCCTATCGGTATGATGGTCAAAAAGCGGTACTCTGCTTGTCTCAAAAAAAGGATTACTGAACATATTATCAGTTGTCACCGGGACTTCTAATTATCGGGAGTTCCCTGTTTAGCCTTCGTTAAGTCTTCTCTGGCTAGCGAGCAAACATCCCCAAACTAAATAATACCGTTTGGTAATGTTTGATTTTGTTATTCCTGATAATTTAATACCACTAACAACTATAAGTTCCGGGTGCATAGGTGCTTGGGTTCTCCAACTCACTTAAGATTAACAATGCAAGTTGCTCGTTTAATTAGTTGAAAAGCAATCCAGTGAATAATCACTACTCTCTGCTTGCGAACAGCTTGATAACACATACCAACATCAATCTCTCAAAATGCTAATTGTTATGTACAATATATATGTATTCATTAATGAATAAATTGTTGATCATATGTTTTTGTCAAGTGCAATTATTGAACTTCTATTATTTTTTTTAACAACATCTAATCTTCCTACGATCACTTGAATATGCACTAACCTGTATGCATTACTTGCATAAACTGTATTCTTTTGGTCACATATGTTGTAGATCTAGACTTATGGGGTTTCTGAAAAAAGACCCTGTTTAAAGTTCAAGGAACATTTGTGGATATAAGTTGGGAACGAGACTTTATGACAAAATTCAGGTATGGTGAATCCGATAACCTGATAACCATTGCTATTTGCTTGACTTTCTCAAATTGAGTAAGTAGGCTACTCTCAGAGAACAATTTTACAGAATTATCACTCGCAGTGTAGACGTGTAACTAATTGTTTGGAGACTACGGTGGATCAAGTAGTTAGCTTTAAGGGGCCTTCATCTGTAGGTTACAACTTGGGCATAATCTGCCAACCTCATACAGCCAGGGTTGCACTTAGTAAAGCAAGTGAAATGTAACCAGTGCCAGAAGAAAGCTTGGGGACTCAAGACATATCGTTTTGACCGACCGTCTTGAGAATGTCTTGAATTCTGATTTGGCCGGTGGTGTTCGACAGATATAGAGACGAGACAATCAAGGGTGCTACCAGGACACGACGCGCGAATTAGCTCGACCAATAAGACAGCTTGGAGATCGTGATGTCCCAATAACTGGACAAACTTTCTGTCGCTTCCTGATAATAAAGTTAATCTTGCGTATTTTTTTGTCAGAGGAACGGTGTTTTAAGGCACCTGGTGATAAGGAGATTGTAGTTACCGGGGAATTCAGAGAGGAATTTCGTCAAAGAAAACCACCGATTTGACTCAAATGAGAGCCACACATGAAGAAGCTGACACTAGGTCGATGTACATGCTGTGGATACCCAGTTTAATACACGTGTTGTGTCATCAAGGGACACCTATATTCGCGCGCTTATGGTTTCCAACTTCCCACGTGTACAATGTGAACGCCTCTGGATGTTGTCTGGTACCGATGTATACCCATTGTTGCAGTTTTCAACAACCCACCAAGAGATTAACTGGGTGTGACACCATATCCTACTTCGCAAATCACATCTAATGGTCCTCATGGAAAGTCTTCAAAGAGCTCAAAAACTTGGGAATCGGCCAACACAGAGAGGAGACCGTTCGATCTGCAGAAGCCTTTGCCTGCAGAATATATGATGTGCACCAAACAGACTCTGTTGATGAATCAAGGCATATCCTGTTCTCTAAGACTGGGAAACAAGAATGTCCCCAACGAGTGATGCTCTCCATTTGCGTGTACACTATCAAGCAATGGTTTGGAGAAATGCTCACTGAGCTGTATCTGAGCTTCCTACGCCCGTGGACATTGGATAGAAACATAGTTATTCAGGACTACAGCCCATACTGACGTCATTGAGTCCAATCCTCGAAAGTTGCCTGGACATGATTCCGTGTGCATGCCAGAAGCAATGCAGAACGCGTCGTTGCAAATGCCGCAAGTCCGGGTTACGATGCACAGCTATGTGTGCATGTCAGCAACAGATTAATGATCAAACTCTTGTATGAATATGGTCTAGTCAAACAAACAGTTTATTATTCTATACCAGACCAAAGATGAGGTATTTGTGAGTAAAGCCAATTGCCCAGCCATGCCTGTATTAGCATCAAGGAGTAAATTGGGGTAAAATTTGGAATCTAAACATTGAGATTTGATACATGGATTGTTATGAAATCCACTGATATGTAGCTCATTTGCATAATTAAGTATATGGTTTGTCGCTGATCACATTGCCTGACCCTGTAAACATAGGTAAAGACACTTCATTTGTCATGTTTGCGTGCCTTGTTGGAGAGAAATGATTGTTTGCTGCAATGGCGGCCACTAATTTGCAGATTTATGAGTACTGTTTACCACTAATTACGTCAGAAATGTTTAATCCGATTCTCTGGTATAAACATTTTATTTGTCATTTTTGCCTGTTTGGTTACAGAGTTATTGCAGAAAAAGGTTCAAGATAGGTAAAATATTGGCAATTTGGCGGCCGTTATGTTTATGCAAATTAGATGGTCAAAACCTCACATTTTCGCTTGTGTTCCACTGTAAAACGTTTGTTTTCCTATTTTATTCTATTTCATTGCTGTGTTACAAAAGCATACAAAACTCCATTAAACTTTCTTCCTTCCATTGGTTGTCTCCACTTGATACTTGTTAAACATCCTTATATGCCTTTAATGAAGATTCTTGCCAGTTTGATGTGACTGTTTCATCGTTAAAAGGGTAAATCAGACATGCGTTATTATATAATGACTCCATGTGAAGACAGGAAAAGTCTAAGGTCGAACCTAACATTTGGTTAACGGTGAGTGAGTTTAAAAAAAGTTAAAGGGACTTTGTGCACCTGCATGTCCACGTGCACATACTTCCTGTATACCGTCAATCTTTCGGTACATGATAGTATCTCAATAACTTTATATATAATAATTGCATTCAAAAAGGAATCGTATTGCTCATTCCTTTAATGTCTCCGCCTACGTGCTTATAAACGCATACAGTCAAAACACCGTTGTGTTATAGTTGAAGGGGCCTACGGAAATACTTCGAGTTATCCGAGGCCAGACACAACCGAAAATCATAAATAAATCAGGAATACGCAGGAATCAAGCTTTTACACTGAGATTACCATAAGTTCGACACATCAAAGTTCGACACATCAAAGTTCGACACAACGGTGTTTAACTGTATTTACGTGTGCCACAACGTTTATCCTTACAACGCGACAAAATTTCCCATTTTGTTTTCATATTAATTCAGATACCTTACGAAAATTCTTTTCTTCATCATAATAATATCTGAATTACATGAGAGCGTTATGTATATTCTATATTAGGAAAATAGGCAGTGACATTGTTGTTGAATAAATGTTGTTGAATAAATATTTCACTGGGATGTTTTGCTGTCAGTCTTTTAGTTTTTGTATTCTGTCAGTAAAGTGTTTTGAACGTTCTGATATTTCTATCTTTTCACTTTTCAAGATGATAGGGACAGAAAGTTTGTTAGTAACAGTTATGTACATCAACTTGGCAGGGGAACATGATCTATTAGGAGATTACCTGATTCAAAGGGACATTATACAGTTTGGAATGAATTAAATAGCAGAAGCATAACTTAATTTTCACTTCCAGCCAGAGAAAACACTACCCCTAAGTTTTCAACCCAAACCTCGGAGGCGTGTTTTCTCCTATACATACATGTATAATTTGCTGAAGTTATGTGCATCTCATTCGACATGTCTTCCCACGCCCTGAGGTTGTAGTTATTTGTGTGATGGTGGTTTCGTGTATACAATCAGAAAGATAAAGGAAGGAGAGGTTTATTGTACTGGAGATGCAGGATTCACTACGAACCATTGAAAAGGAACCTGTCAGCGACATACCGAAGCAGGAGGGAGCAAACTGTGCATGTCAGTTTATCAGCCGTGTTACCTAGTCACCACGACTGCTGTTATTATACGTATATGAGTGAGCAAGGTTTTTGGTTGTAATTATAAGAGTATATAACAGGTTCTATATTGTAAGGAAACGGGCATAAACCTTGCGAAGTGCATCAAATTACACCATGAGAGAACATGAAAAGATTTGCAAAATATCAGTCGACGCCCAGATGGCGTGCACATGCTTTGCAACCCTTCATTCCACTGAAATCTGCATGTTGTCTAGTTCGGCTAAAGGGTGGAAACTGGACTTTGCATGGTCAGTTAACGCCCTTGCCTCGGGAAGATGCATGGTGATAGAAATTCATTATTTTTTATTAGCTCTGTGTAGACACGAGCATACATTTCTAGTTCTGCTCGGCTTGCCCAGGTCTGTGTTATTTTGCGGACACCTACAGAGTATTAAATGTACATGCAGGAACAAGTGGAGAGATGTTGATGATATTCACCTATTATGGGATGTTTCGGGTAATTACAACGAGTATCTCAAATAACAGTTTGCGAATATAAAAGGAAGCGTTGATTAGAATTATTTATAGGAATAGTATTATGAGTTTTGAGTTGATGAGTTTCTGAAATATGAAACGCCAATGCCAGAGAATAATCAGTGTCGATTACGTAGAGGGGAATGTTCGAGTGACTCTCCATTCCTTAAAAATAATGGAGCAGAGGCACCGGAGGGGCCGAGACCCATTGTTTTTAAAGAATGGAGAGTTACGAGGAAATTCCCCTACTTAAAACTCATCCCTTCTTTTACACTTTGACAAAATATTCTGTTGTGGAAAATATTTGAAAAATAAACCAGAACTCTTTGGGCATTGCCTAAAATTCGGGCCGGGTCGGGCCAAGACGGGCCAAAGTGTTACTGGCTAATTACTTCATTATCGGCGATCATACCTACATATATTGATGCAACATACACACATACACACATGACATTAATGAACAATCACCAAACAAAAAAGTGCACCATAAATAAGTAATTCGGAGTAAATCGCTTGAAAACCAGAAAGTGGAGCAGTGTGTAAGCGTCGCTGATCTTGGTAACATGTAAAAGAGCAATCGTTAAACGAAATAAGATTTGAAACGTATCAAATACTTCTAGCTATCGTGATACAACGTTCCATCTGTGAGCATAGTGTTTATATTTATAGGAACGTTCTTTATATAAGTAAATACCACTTTATAATGTCACTGATCGTCGTATTTAAAGCAGACACGTTGGTTAAAGTAGACCTCTTCTCCCTATACTCTCAACAGTCACACAGGTGTTCGGTCCGACTTGGCCCGGGCTCTCAAAATCAACTTAAACCTCACATATGTACCATCAAATGGATTCACATCTATAGATTAGTACTATATCCACCTAAATACCACTTTATAGTGTCTCAGATCGCTGTAATTAAAGAAAACAAGGTGCTCAAAGTGAAGCCCTTTTCCCTTTACATTCTCAACATAGTCTCTATCAGAAGTGTTTGGCTTGTGTTGGGTCCGACTTGGCCCGGGCTCTCAAAAT